TATATATATATACACACACACACACACACAGAACTTCAGTTGATGGATCACTCAAATAAGCTTATTTGAGGGAAACCCTTATAGGGGCCACTCCGTATTGTATTTCACTAATCCAAATAATCTATTTTGTAGAAATTCAATTCAAAGATCATCTCTATAAAAAATAATAAAAAATAAAAAAAATTACTTGAATTCGATATCATTTGACTACTCAATTGAATTATTGAAATTTTAGTACTTTTTTGAAGCACTTTGTTCATTGCTTTAGTATGACACAATTAGATATCGAAATAGTTTTCGATTTATCTAATTTTTTGCAAGGATGGTCTATGAACGCAAACTTAAAAAATAAATGGTTTGAATCGTTGAAAAAAAATTTGTAGGGGACCCTAAGGGTATCCCTCAAATAAAATTATTTGGGGAATCCCTCAATAGAAGGGGACTGTGTATATATCCGTCTGTGAATGCTGCTCATAGTGGATCTTTATCTTGTATATTAGGTGTCTTGTAGACTGTTAAGACTTGCACGTAGGTAGGCTACAAAGGCTTCAAAACAACGTCTTTGACGTGTGCTTCACCATACCAAACTCTCCTTATTTATAATTTATTTTTTATTAACTTATTAATACCAAACTCTCCTTATTTATAATTTATTTTTCTTTTACTTACTTATTAATTTATTTTTCTTTTGTTTCATTGTACCTTAAAAGCTTTCTAATTTATTTATATATTATTTATATTATAAAAAGTTTTGTTTTTGGCTTATACAGAAAAAGAAAAACTATAATTTCGATAACACAACCCTCATCCCTTAGCACATGCAAAATGGGTTCAGCTGCAAACCCTAAAATTTATCGGCCATAGCTAAACTAAGCAAATCAGACCTAGTCTAGCATTGGCTTGAGTATTGGGAATTTGAGATATTATAGCTTTTGCTTTTGAATATAATGCTATTGCTAAACGACTTAAAGATTGTTTCTTTGGTTGGGTTTGAGGGAGATTGGAATGTGGTTAAGGGGTTTAAACATAGAGAGGAATGGGTGGCTTAGCTTGATGTGGAAGGATGACCATCTCTCCCCGCCTCTGTATCTCTCTGATCCTCCAGCTTATTGGTTGGGTTTGATTGATTTTTGAGGTTTGGGAAGATGATGACCTTGTTAGCTGGGGAAGATGGTGGTTGGCCGACGATGAGGATGGGCATTGATTAGAATGGATGATTTTACCCCTACATTTGACGACAACATTGTCAGAATGTAACTGTGGGACTAATAGTAAAGAGTGTGTGGACCATTTGAACGAATAATTTAGTTGAAAGACCAAAATACAAATCGTGTATAAATTTGGGGATCATTTGAGTTAAAAACCTTACATTCTTATATAAATAATTTGTCAGAAGAAGTTAAGTTTATTGAAAATTTATAATTTTTCAGTGATTATTGGTATTAGCTAAGGTTTTATTTTTTCAAATCAAAATAGTCCTTCAAGTTATGCTCGAGTTTTATTTTCACCCTTCCCCCAGCCCCAGTCTTCTCCCCCACCTCCACCTGCCCTTGGTCCTAGAAAAATAATATAATTTTTTAAAATATAAAAATGGTATCAACAACAAAGATATACAAGAACCACAAAAGTAATTGACTAATTAAAATTTAGGATAATATGCAGTTTTGCCCTTGAATGATAGCATAATTGTTAATTTACCACCTAAGCATTTTCTTTTGGGTAAGTTAAGGACTTTTTTTTTTGGTTGAGTTTTTCTATTTAAACCCCACGCTTCTATTTGTTCACCTCATTTTCTAAGTTCACCCCAAACTCTAATTCAAAATTTCACAATTTCTATGAAAACCCCACTATCTTCCCTAACTACCCCAAAATACACACCTAGTAGAAAAAAAAAATTTAGAAAACTCATCAACCTCACACCTCACACTCCGCTATCTTGCCCCTCATCACTTTAAATTCACCTCAACCTCACAT